CACAACACAACTGATGGTCCCAACCCCGTTACGAAGGCAAAAAGTTCCACAAATGAACCCTGACAAGGCACACACGTGAAAACCATTTCAGGTGACTACATCATGAAGCTCATTGAGAGAAGGCCAGGGGTTTTCAGCACTGTCAACAAGGCAAAGGGTGGTTACTTTGAGGAATCTAAAATATAAGACATATTTAGATTTATTTATCCATTTCTTCTCCTGCATTATATACTTGATGTCTTCAGTTTGTATCTACAATGTAGAAAGTCGTAGAAATAAAGAAAAACCATTGAATGAGAAGGTGTGTCCAAACTTTCCACTGGTAGTGTACATACTTTATCAAGGTTACAAGTCAACTTATCACAAAGCAGAATTTAAGAATTCATATGAAATGAAATAACCTACAGTTTGGTACAACAAGTTAGGCCCTAAGAAAAGCAGTTTAATGGCCGAATGAGGCCTGCTCCCTTGTTATTTAATGGCAAACGAAATGATCAAATGATGATCCAAAGTGTTGAATTTGTATTTTATAGCTTTTCACTATAATTTTAAATATGAGGCCCAAATAGATGCACGTGCAGGAGGCCATCATTAGAACCAAGATTAACTTGAAGCAGGTTGATGGGGAGAGAAAAGTATGGAGAAGGAGAGAGCAAGCTCATGATGTGTAGCATAGCACAAACCAGAGGAACTATTGATTGATTCTCTGAGTGCTGATAGAAGTATCAGAATGAATTAAGAAGTGTGTAGGACTGTACTCTGCTCACATTCAGACAAATGCTGGAAAACTGAACAGTGCAAATGGATAACGACCCACAGCAAAAACAATCCAAGAGTTTCTCAAAGCAACAAAATGGGCTACCAGGTTGACATTACACCAAGTCACATGATCTGAACCCAACAGAACAGCTTTTCAGTTTTTAAATACAAAACTGAAGGCAGAGACTCACAAACAAGCAACAGCTGAAAGTGGCTACAGTGTTCGCTGATATCCACAGAGGTCTAAATCAAGTGCAGTGTTGCAGAGAGGCAAAACTACAAAAAACGTCTTTGTCCAAACAAACTATGGACCTTACTATCTGAACAGAAATATTGCCCCAGCCCATGCAAGTGTGTGCGAAGTCTGAGTGTGAGTGTGTGGTACCAGGAGGCGCAGGCGTAAGGGCTACCGCGTGACTGAGCACGAGGCAGCTCGTGTGCCTGTCTCCTCCTCTCATTTTCCCCCCCTCTCTCTGTCCATCATACAAAGAGAAGGCAAAGAAAAAAAATAATTCTTGGGGAAAAGAACAAAATGGAACGACATGTCGGCATTTGGATTCACTCACATCCCGTACCCCCTCATTTTGTGTCTCCATCTTGCACGTTGCAAATGATGAAAGGGAGAAAAACTTTTCCATTTCTTCTGTGTACGTGTGTGCATCTGTGTGTGAGTGTTTTTGTCCTTCTCAGTGAATAGAGCATTAATTGCATTAGCATTACAGCTGGGTGATTTTCCAGTCTAAGAAAAACTCTAGCATCAACGAGGAAGACATTTCAAAGTCCTGAAGTGTGTTGTTATTTCGTGCATTTCAATTGGCAAATTCGAAGCATTATTTAAAATAAAAAAATGCCATAACAAAAGGAATGAAAGAACCGAGCACCAGGAGACAGCTGGAGCATGAAGATTGCACTGATCAGGTTGGCCAAGTAAAACTGTTCGGCTCTTGAAATATTCCCTTGATAGAAGTTATTCAATTGCAATAATTCAGCCACCAAAATGAAAATGTGGCAGATAATAAATTAAAGCTTTAGCCTGATTTAGCCCGAAATGCAAATAATCTAAAAGAGTAAAATCTAAAAACAAAGTGAAGCTAACTGGGGCTCAGCTCTTTTGTTTGGCTGGTGCAGAAATTCAGCTGGTGCTCCATGCTGTGTGTTGTCGGTTTGTAATGAGAGGGGCAATAAAGAAAATAAAGGAATATCATAATAACAAACAATAACTAAAATCTTTCTCAATTTTCTGAGTATTTAAGCCAGAATAAAATCCCTGATATCTAATTAGGTTGTATTTTTGATTATTGTTAGTTCTCTCTGTGGGCCACTGATGCACTGGAGCAGCTGAGGTCAGAGCAAAAGCGTGTTAACCTGCACTCTCTCGAGAGGCCCCAGGAGAGAAGCTCAAGTGTATATTAATTTCACACGACTAACTTGATGTTAGACAAGGATCATTAATTCCACTTTCCCTCTTCACACTGGCATAGTAAGGTTAAAACCGCATGCAATAATATGCAGTATATGGACATAAAAACATATGTGTGCTTAAATCATTTGGGATTTGGATTTCTTACTCAAAGTAAACCTTAAAACCTTTAGTAGCAAAATCCAAGTTCTGAGTCGCAAACAAAAGCACATACCCGCCAGGTGTGTGCGCCCCTGATGGAGGCAAATTAATTAAAATGCAAAACAGTTAGCTTAATTTCTCTGTGTTTATGCAAATAGGTGTGTGTGTGTGTGTGTATTGCCGAGAGAGACCAGTAGAACAGTGAGTAGGTGGAAATTGACACCGGGCAAAAGGGTAAAAAAGAACACACACAAAATTATGCATA